CACTTACAATAATTATGAAAAGAATAAAAGAGTTAGTAATAAACTTAACCAAAGAGGTAAAAAATGTGTACATTGAAAGCTACAAGTCATTAATGAAAGCAATTTAAAAAGACATAAATAAATGGAAATATAACCCATGTTTATAGATTAGGAGACTCAGTATTGTTAAAATGTCCATATTATCCAAAGTGATCTACAGATTCAAATCTCAATGGCATTTATACAGAACTGGAAAAAACAATCCTAACATTCATATGGAAACACAAAGTACTAGAACAAATCTGAATGCATCACACTTTCTAATTTCAAACTATATTATAAAACTACAGCAATTTAAACAGTATGGTACTGGTATGAAGACAGACATAGAGATCAATGGAACAGAACAGAGTATAGAAATAAACTCATGCATGTATGGTGAACTGATCTTCCACAGGGTTGTCCAGAATACACAATAAGGAAAGATAGTCTCTTCCACAAATGGTATTGAGAAAATTGTATATCTACATGCAGAAGAAATTGGACCCTTATCATGTATCATGCCTAAAAATCAACTCAAAATGGATTAAAGACTTGAACATAAGGACTGAAACTATGAAACTCTTAGAATGAAAACATGGAGCAAAAGCTTCATGACATTGGTCTTGGCAATGATTTCTTGTATATAACACCAAAAGTAGAGGCAACAAAAACAAAAACAAAAACTAATAATAATAATAAAACAAAAACAGACAGGTGGGACTAAATCAAACTAAAAAGCCTCTGTACAGGAAAGGAAACAATTAACAGACAACTTACAGAATGGGAGGAAATATTTGTGAATCCTTTATTTGATAAGGGGTTAATATTCAAAATATGGAAGATACTTCTACAACTCAAGAGCAAATAACCACAATTAACAACCTAATTTTAAAATGTGCAGAGGACCCGAGTAGACATTTCTCCAAAGAGATACAAATGGCCAAGAGGTACATAAAAAGATGCTCAACGTCATAATCATCAGAGAAATTCAGATCAAAACCACAATGAGATATCACCTGATACCTGTTGGGATGGCTATTGTCAAACCAAAATGAAAATGAAAATACCAAAACAAAACAAAAGGTAAATGTTGATGAGAATGTGGAGAAACTGGAACCCTTGTACATTGTTGGTGGGAATGTAAATTGTATGACTGCTATGAAAACCAATGTGGCATTTCCTCAAAAAGTTACAGCAATCCACTTCTGGATATTTATCACAAAGAACTGAAGTCACAATCTTGAAGAGATCCTTACACTCCTGTGTGCATTGCAGTATTATTCACATTAATCAAAATGCAGAAACAACCTAAATGTCCATCAATAGATGAACGGGCTATGCATACAGCAGAATATTATTCAGCCTCAAAAAAAAAAAAGGAGATCCTGCCATATGGGACACAGATTAACTTTGAGGACATGCAAAGCAAAATAAGCCAGTCATGAAAGGACAAATAACGCATGATTTCACTTATATAAGGTATCTAGAATGGTCAAACTCATAGACGCAGAGAGGAGAGTTATGGTTGCCAGGGATTGGGGTGGAGGGGAAAGGGGGAAATGCTATTCAGTGGATATAAATTTTCAGTTACCAAGATGACTAAATTCCAGAGATCTGCTGTACAACATTGCTCTTCTAGTTAACAATTGGGTATTGTACACTTAAAAATGTGTCAAGAGGGTAGATCTCCCATTAAATGTTCTTACCACAGGGACGCCTGAGTGGCTCAGTCAGTTAAGTGTCTGCCTTCAGTTCAGGCCATGATCCTAGGGTCCTGCTATGGAGTCCTACATCAGGCTCTTTGCTCAGCAGGGAGTCTGCTTCTCCCTCTACTTGCCACTCCCTCTGCTTATGTTCTCTCTCTCTATCTCCCTCTCTCTTTCTCTCTCCCTGACAAATAAATGAATGAGATCTTTAAAAAAATAAAAAAGGGGTACCTGGGTGACTCAGTGGTTGAATATCTGCCTTTGGCTCAGGGTGTGATACTGGGGTCCTGGGATCGATTCCCACCTCAGGCTCCCTGCAGAGATCCTGTTTCTCCCTCTGCCTATGTCTCTGCCTCTCTTTCTCTGTGTCTCTCATGAATAAATAAATAAATAAATAAATAAATAAATAAATAAATAAATATTCCTGCCACAATAATAATAATAAAAAGTTTCAGGTAGCGACCTGGACCCTGTCCACAACCCCCAGTCTAGTCTCATAGCTAATTTCATTTCTAGTTTTAGGTGCCTGGCATCACACAGACCACTCTGAATGTTTGTCTTATTTGACCTGGTTATCAGGGAAAAAATAATTTGCGACGAGAAAACAGAATAATTTGAGGGCACGCAAGGTATTTTTACTACCCCGAATGCCTGAACTTCTATATAACATCAGTGATCTCTTTTATTGGGCTTAGCGTTGTCTCTGCCCTCTTATCTTCCTTGTGAGAAGAGAAGCGCACAAAGGTACCTGCTTATAAGTGAAGAGGTCGGGTCATTCTTTCTTGGTTGGAAAAGGCAGGGATTTTGATGTCCAGATATTAGAAGATGGAAGGAAAGCATGCAATACAGAGACTGGAAGGGTGTCGGAGACAGATTTCATCTCCTTCACAATTTTTCTGCAGCTTGGCTCGTTGTTGTGACTCAACCTCCCTGTGCTTGGCAAGGCTCAGACAAGGGTAGTCTCTGTTTGGTACCAAATCAGAACAGGGAGTACTGGGCTGAACGTCAGATGCAGGTATTTCTGATACATTCTGGATGCAGTTCTTTATTAGGTCTTTTTTTTAGGTCTTTTGATAAATAGGAATTTGTTTTAAATAGAGCCAAAACGTCCCTTTGAGTAAATCATGTACATTGTTACAAAACGGCTAGAAGGCATGTACTCTCAACCCATTCTGAGAACCAAGAATCTAGATCACAATCCTCTGCCCAGTCCTAAATGGCCTCTTTATCATCCTCTTCTCTTCTCAGTTCCATGCTGGGCCTCAGTAGTTAACAGAGAATCCCTCATCTCTATTTGTCTATCATGCCTACCTCTCATCATCTGCACTTGATCTTTCCTATCCTGGAGAAAAGAAATCTCTCTCTGCCTTAACTCAATGTCAAGGTCCTACTAGTAATAAAAGGAGTTCTGCCTTTAATGGAGAAAGACCCATGAATGCAATTGTCACTTTTCTCGATTAATAAAACCTATCATTTATGGAGCCTTGTGTATCCCTGGCACTTGAGTCACTGCATTTTGTTCTCACACCTCTATGCCTATTTTACAATAGGGTTGTTGATATGTGGAGTTATTCCCCAAGATTTTCAAGCTAGGTATGCCTGACTCCAGAGTGCAGTTTTTTGCCTGCATTAGCCTACTTTGCTGGATATCCATCTGCACGCTCTTGGGACTGCCCAGGCTGCTGTGTGGGAGACAGGTTCCCCTCCCCACCCCGGTGGCAAACAATGATTCACTCTCATGAGTTAGAGGACACAGATCTAGTTTGTGGGGGAAACATTCACAAGATTATCACCCCAGGAAATTAAAACAAATCCTATTTCTATTGTCCTTTCTATACCTTAATTTCAAATTCTGCTTGCAGTAGCTGGCAACAGAATCAAAGGAATAATTATGCCTGATGATTGGAAACTGAGGCCTTAAAGTCTTTGACTCATTTTTGCCCACTAATTTGTGGGCTGCACCTGAATGTATTGATCTAACTGAAAATATTTTTTCAAAATATTCTAGTTAACAATTTCAACTTAGCAAAGGCACTAAACCATTTATCTCCAACATGGAGATCAATAAATGAATTTTATTTTTTCTAAGATGTAATTGTAAAAAGGAATTTTGGCCTGGGAATCTGAAGATCTGGGTCTCAATTCTGGATGTGCCATTTTTAAGCCTGTAATCTTAGTCAAAACCACTTCATCTGGCTGAATCTTCATGTGCAAAATACAAATAATGATATTTTTCTTGCTTAGTTCACAGAGATGATATGGTAGGGATCCCATTATAAGGAAGTGCTTTATAAACCCCAAAGTACTCAGCAAGCATAAGTCACTGGCAAGATGAAGTAAAATGCTCAAAAAGTTGCCACCAGGAAGCCTTTCAGCAGAGCTCTAAACAAGGGCTTCACCAAGGAGTGAATCATGGGGAAAAGTTGTGCTTCTCAATGGCTTTCCCCTTATTTTAGCTTTAGGGACCCAAACCCAAATGGGGTCTCCAGCTGGATCCATGATGATCTTCAATTATGTGACCTCCAGGAAACCAGTCTTGGTTCTCATCTAAACTGAATATCCCAGTCCTAGAGAGGGAGTGGCACAAGGATTAAAAGACTCCTTGACACCAGTGAAGCCGGGGACCTGGATAATGCTGCCTAAGTAAGCAGACTAGAAAGTACAGGACTGATTGGATGCCACCTTGGTTACAAATGCAGAGATACTGCAATAACATCAGAGACAGGAGGAAAAGTGGAATGTAGGTAGATCCTGTGCAAAGTTATGGGCACCTCAAACTCATGAAAGTCAATTCCAAGTTAGAACAGAAAATTGTCTTCTGGGTAGTGGAAACAGCTGGCTGAGCAGTGTGGGTGCTCACTCAATACAATGTGGTGTGGATGGTGACTGTCCTGAGTCTCTGGGTCTCTCTCTGTTATTCTTTTTGGCGGAAGGCTTTCCAGAGATACGTGCAGACGCAAGCCACCAGTGCCTAGAAAGATTGAAAGAAGAGGTACAGGCGTGGACGACAGGCCGGAGCCCTCGTACTGAAGCCTCTCTCCCCGCCCTCGCTGCCTCACCCCCCCCCCACCCCACCCCCATCGCCCGATCCGCACAATCAGGCTTGGGAGAGTGAAAGGGTTTCACTTCCGCCTGGCTGCAGGAACCACAAGTTCCAGACTAGGTCAGAATTCCGAATAATCACAGTCAAAATCCACCCAGATACTCTCACACGCCCAGCCGCGCGCGCATCCCGGGGCCGCGGGGCACACGTGAGCCCACGCCCTGCGCGCCCGTCCCTGCCTCCTGCCTCCTGCCGGAGCATCCTCGGCTTGGGCGGCAGACGCAGCCGCCGCCGCCGCCTCCTCCTCCTCTCGCCACCGCCTCCACCGTCTCCTCTCCCCTCTCGTCCTCCTTCCTCCCCCAGTTCCTGCTCCTCCTCCCGTCCGCGGCGGCGAAGGGCAGAACCCTCAGCAGCGGCTGCCTGCGCTTGGGCCGCCAAGAGCCTGGAACAGGTCTGTGCGGGGGGCGCTTTGTTGCGGGCAGTTGGAGCGACCCTGGCTCCCGGAGCCACCGGGAGGGCACGCGGCGGGCGCGGGGGTCTACGATTTCTCCGCGTTGGGTCTTTTTCTATGAATAGACGGGGTGCCAGGGGGTGGGAGGGCAGCTTGGTCCTTTGGCCAGTGGCCGTCCCTCCGGCGTCGTGGCAAAGGAGCCCCCGAGCTGCTCGGAGTCCTGCCCCCACCGCCCACCCCTCAAGCTCTCTTTCTGTGCACCCCCACTCCCCGCATCCATGTCCCAGAGCTGAGCTTTCTCTTGTTCTGGGAGCTCGTGGATGGGGGCGGGGAGAGATGGATGGAGCCGATCCAGCGGGGCACCTGGGTGCATGGGCTTTGTTACATACAACAAAAACCAGTCCTCACCAGCTTCCAGTTCCAGGCTAGGCTGCAGTCTGCTGGCAGTGTGGGGTGTGGGCCGGGCACACTGGGGAAGTGAGAGAATGCGAGGGGGCACTCCCTGTGTGTGTGACTGGGCACACAGGAATGCGGTGGTGGTGGTGGTGGTGGTGGTGTGTGTGTGTGTGTGTGTGTGTGTGTGAGATGGTGCTGGTTTTGTGTAGGATGCAGTGAGTATGAGTTGGAGTGTGGGGTGTCATGTGTGTGTGTGTGTGTGTGTGTAGTTCTGCGCCATGGGGCTGAGTTACTCCTGGCATTCCATGTCCTTGGGTATCATCCCATGCCAAGCCAGATTGCAGTAACACGCAGCAGATCAGGTCCAACCTGTTCTGCCTACACTGGAAGGGTAATGATGGTTTCAAAGTGATGGAAATCCCCCCAACTTGGGGCTGTTGTTTAGAACATGCTGATTGTGGAATTTCCAGCCAGGTTGACCAAGTCTTACTGGACATCATTATTGTTCCCCCAAAGACATCCAACTTTCTTAGCAGGTTTTCCTCTCTCAGCCAATGAGGATCCAAAGCTCTTACAGTGATCCCTGCAGAGCCTTCCCCTGCACCCCTTTAATTAGTGGATGCTCCTGTTGTCTTTACTGCAGTCTTTACTTTGGAGCTAGCCTGTAGCTGTATGTTTGGAGAAAAATGAACGTACTGGATGCACCTGTGTATTAGTGGTGTATTTGGATTAAAGGTTTTCTTTATTTCCCTCCTGGAACCATAAGATGTGAATTGGTATGGTCTTTTTTTTTAATCAAAGAAAGAAGAAATCAACAGAAATGAACAAAACTGCTAGACTTTCTTTTGTACATTTTACTTGAGGTTTTAAGAAAGCATTATTTGTCAGGGGCCAAAAATGTACAGTTAAGGGTAGTGATTGTTCAGTAAAACAACCGACATTTATTAAACACCTGCTACATGCCAATACTAATGTTACGTATTGGAAGTATATAAACGAATAAATGAATAAAGCATCATCTCAGCTCACAGGGAAGGCACAGTCTGGTAGGCAAGATAGTGTGTGTAAACAGATGATTACAGTAGAGTATGACAAGAGATAGGCAGGGTACTGTGAGAGCAGAGAGGAGGGGTGGGGGTAGACGTTATGATCAAGAGAGGCTTTGGGGCTCCTGGGTGGCTCAGTTAAGCTTGATTTCTCTTGATTTCTGCTTAGGTCATGATGTCACAGTCTGGCTCCATGCTCAGCATGAGGCTGCTTAAGATTCTCCCTCTCTCTACGTCTCCCCTCTCTAAATAAATAAATAAATAAATAAATAAATAAATAAATAAAATCTTTAAAAAAAGAAAGAAAGAAAAGCTTCCTGGGGGAAGTGACATTTGAGTGAGTCTTGAAAAACTAATTCACTAGGCGGCCAAGTTGAAGGAACAGCATATATAAAGGCAGAGAGGGGTCATGGTTAAGTAAGACTGCAAGGAGTCCTCAGAACTATTACTATCATGAACTCAGAATGAGTCTCCCTGGACTGGGATAGTGATTAATGGTGAACCCAAAAGGAGACAGTATTGCAGATTGGTAAAGATTAGCACACATCTGCATCTTAAGAAATGTCCAGCTCATTTCTAAATGTCAGTGTTTTGCCTTGAGTAAATCTGCTATGGGTAAGTATGTATTTATGAGGAAAATGAACTAGATGGACAGTACGGTACACATATTGTGGAATTTGTTGCTTTACAAAAGGCTTCATAATCAGACCATCTTGGACCTTTACAGGGAAGATTTTTACCAAAAATCCATTTACCCAGATTTTTTTTTTTTTTTGCATAGCCAATGGATGGATAAAGAAAGATAGACCTGCATTGCATTTACTTTGTGGGCAAAAAGTTACCAATTTCAGTGCAGGCACTTTCCCTTAGGGTGTGGGTGTTTAATAAATACCGAATACTGAAAGCGTGGAAATGGTGGTAATAAATATGAAATCCACTATCTGTTATCTTTGATCATTTGGGTTGTATGTAAAATACAAATTAACCGGGACAGGGTCTTCAGGGACTTTCACATTTTAGATACTGTGAGTAGTGTCACTGGTAATTAATAATAGCACAAGATTTCTGTCCTGTGTGTTAAGTGCGTAGTCAGGAATGGCTGTATGAGGACTAACATTCATGCGGTTAGGCCAGAATAGGGGCACATTCCGAGTCTCCAGTTCTGTTTTGTTGGTGCCGATTGTGTGGGCTGATAAATGGCATTGGAAATGAACCTAAGAGATTAATGATTTCTGCTGGAAGTGCCTGGTGGGCACAAAATTATGCTAGTTAAAAGTGTGGGCTTTGAGGGCTTGAACCAGCATCCTGAGCATCATCTCCTCCCTTAAATGAAAGCCAAAAATAGCCCTGGGTTCTCTTTGAAAGGAATGCCAGCAGGGGTGATCCAACTTGAATTGACTCCCCCCTCACCCTAGTCTGGCCAATGCCCTGAGGCAGAAGAAATTATGGCCTGGGGTCCTCTGGGCACATGGAGGTCCTTTGTTCACTGGCTGTCAGTACCAGAAAGTATCAGGCAGCATATCTAAGGCACATTCCCCCACAGCTTGGGCTGAAAAGGAATGGATGCTGTGCGGGTACTCAGGTAAGCCTAAGTGCCTGGACCAAGTGCTTCCCAGACTTGTTCCACCGGATGTTAGTAGGTGTTCCACACTCACATCCAGACACACACAGAGTTTTGTGGTCAAGTTAAATTTGGGAAATTCTTGTTTAAGCAAAAACAGGTTTGTTTACTTCGGGGCTTCTAAAAGCCTTTACCAGGCTAATGTACATCATGATTCTCCAGAAGAGAATCAGCAGTGTCTCCCAGATATATTTGCCCACAGAACCTGGTGTTCCAACAAGCAGTTGGCCAGACTGCCCTTGAAAAGAATATTCTCTGGCAATGCCAGGCAAGAGCCTTTCCCACCAAGTTCGGAGGCTGTAGGTATTTTGCTGGGGAGACAAGGGCGCCTCCTTCACCTTCTGGGCTTTCCTTCCCCCATGCATCAAATGAGGCTGATAATAATCATTGCTCTCACCATCTCTGATGGTGTTATGACAACCAAGATAATATCTCTGCAAGTATTTTGAGCTTTTTACAAGAAAGGCTGTATATAAACTCGAGGTTATTATGAAAGGGAAGTGCAGAATTAAGGCAATTATCCTGATAATTTAGGCCCAAATCCTGTTTTTCCTCTGCACTGTTGGGCAGACTGCCTCAGTTCTCTGCTCTACTTCGACTGCAAAGACCTATCCTCACTCAAACTTGGGTGACTCAGTTCTTTGTGCTTACTTCCTTTCCCTTCCTGAAGATTCCAGTGTGGCCTTTAATTTCCTGGGCCAGAGGTATCATCAGTACAGCCCTAAGAGAAGTCCCATCAATTTGAAAACACCCTCCTGACCAGAGAACCCTGGAAGTGGGAATTAAGCTCAGTTGGAAAGTTGCTTTTATCCTCCAGACTCCCTCTCCTGCAGGAGTAGTTCCAGGGGGCCATCTTGGACGCAGCCGCTGGAAGGTTCACGTTCACTGGCCCCCACATGCGGTCTGGGTGGTCAATAGGAAGGCGTGGCCATCTTTAAGGAAATTTAAAGGCAGAAGAGAAAGACTATTGACCCTCTCTGATTCCCTTGGCTCTTCATTTAATTCCCTTGACCTCTCTTCTTTACAAACTACCTTGAAAGAAGTGTGCCTTTCTTGAGAAGGAACAGCTAATAACCATTGCCAGCTGGGCCTGGGGTGGAGACAGATGTGGAGGCCTTAGAGTTACCCATTCCACAGGGCATCTTACCCACATGGGCCATTCTCCACATGGAAGCAACAAGCTTCATGTGCTATAGGAAGGGTTTGGGTTAGCCGGAAGAGGAAACGCTGTGGCTTTAAGGCCGAATGACTGACCGGACAGTGAGAGTGAAGGCCTTCTCTGGTGGGAAGAGTTCAGTGGAAATACCGGTCAGTAGCAGAGGTTCATAAAATGGTAGCACTGCCTTTTCAAGTTCGTCTGGTGCAAAGCTTCTGCTTGGGTGAGCAAAATGCTAGTGAAGTGAAGTGAGTTGTCTAAGATCCCACAGCTATCACGTGACAGAAGTCATCCTAGAGGCTAAACTCAGATCCACTGCCTCCTAAAGCTCTTCCACTAGACCCAGCCATCTTCTTCTGCACTGCAGGGCAGTGTGGGTTGGTTGGCTCATTCAGTGGGACTTGGAGGGCATGTCCAAGCCTGAGTTGTGTGGACTCTGTGTGGCAGCTTTTAGCAGAGAGACGGGTTTCTAGTGGAGCCAGAAAAAGCCATGCTTCCCCTCTCTCTTTCTGGTTCCTCTTGAGTGTCCAATTGTCTGATTCACCAAGCCAAGCAGCCAGTTGGAAACCTCAGGACTGGGTGTTCTGGGTGGATACTCAGTGGATGATTCAATCACACAGTCCCTCTTCCTTGGTGGTGATTCACTTCTTTTGTAGACCATCGATGACTGCCTTGAAAGTGTGATGGAAGCTGCTGATACATTCCCCCTCAAAATGGCACAGAATTTCAGAGCCATGTAGGTGCAGGGCTCCCACCCCCCACAGCCTAGGGTCACTTGTAG